CTGGCGCGGGATTGGGCAGTGTTTCGTTCTGCTGTGCATGGGGTCGCTATGAGTCGGAAACGACTCGATGGCACTTAACAACAACAACAACAACAACACATCCTACTTTGGTGAGTAGTGACTGGGGTCTTAAAAGCTTGCAAGTAGCCATCTAGTTGCAACAATGGGTCTCTCCTCATCCAGAGCAAAGAAGAATGAAGAAAACCAAAGATGCATGGAAACAATTGGTTTAAGGGACCAGTGGACCATGCAAACCTCAGCCTATATGACTATGAGATCAGAACTAGATGGTGCCTAGGTACCACCACCAACCTCTCAGAAAGGGATCAATGCAGGAGGTCCTGGATAGAATGGGAGAACAATGTGCAACAAAACATAAAATAATTAAAAAAAAAAAAAACAGGTTTACTGTCTGATAGAGCCTGGTGAGACCTCTGAGACTACAAGCCCTAGTTATCTTTCAGGTCTGGAATTTAATTCATTCCCATGGCTTCCAGCCAAACACCTGACAGGCATATAGGGTGAACATGTACATCAGGGAGACACACACCTTAGGATGATTAATCATGGGAGGATAGAAGGGCAGTATCTGCACAGGGAGATAGCTCAGGGGGCAGGAATGCAAACAAAAGAAGGACACAAGGAAGAGATAACTACAGGGAGGAAGTGGAAAGAGAGCTGTTACACTGTGAGGAACTGCAGTCGATGTCATGAAACAAAATGTGTATAAACTGCTGTATGGAAAATAAATTTGCTCCATAAACTTTCACCCAAATCACAATAAATATTAAAAAAAAAATTCAAAATAGATTAAGGACCTAAGTGTCAAACTTGAACCATAAAATTCTTAGAATAACTCTCACTGCCGTCGAGTCAGAAGCAAGAGCAAAGCTGTCAAGCCTAGCTTTCAATGATGGATTATATAATATGATAACGAAAGTTCAAACAGCAAAAGACAAAATAAATAAATGAGACTTCATAAAAACTGAAAACGTGTTCATCAAGAGACTTTACCAAAAAAAGTGAAGACCAGCTTACAACTGAGAGAATTATCTTCAGAAACCATATATCCAACAAGAATCTGATAACCAAAATATATATAAAACTTTGACAATTTAACAACAAAAAGATAAATAATACAATCATAAAATGAGCAAAGGACTTGAACAGACATTTCACCCAAGAGGATTTTCAAATGGCCACCAAACACATGAAGAGATGCTCAGCATTGCCATCAGAGAGATACAAATCAAAACCATAGTGAGATACCATTACACTCCCACTAGGATGGCTAAGATTAAAAGAAAGAGAGAGATAAAATATAAGTAAATAAATAATAAATGTGGTGAGGATGTAGGGAAATTGGAACCCTTATCCATTCCTCATAGGAATGGAACAGCTGCTATAGAAAACTGTGATGATTCCTCAAAAAATTAAAAATAGAACTACCATATGACCCAGTAATTCCACTCCTAGATACACGCCCAAAAGACTTGAAAGCAGAGACTCAGAGACTTATACACCAATGTTCATTGTAGCACTATTCACAATAGCCAAAGATGGAGCAACCTAAATGGTCATCAACAGATGAATGGGTAAACAAAATGGGCTACACACACACAATGGAATGACTATTCAGCCAGTAGGAGAAAGGAAGTCTTGATACATACTCTAGTATCGATAGAGCTTGAAAACAATATACTGAGTGAAATAAGTCAATCACAAAAGGAAAAATATTATATGACTTCATTTATATAAAGGAGCTCTGGTGGTGTAGTGCCTAAGGCATTTGACTGCTAACCAGAAGGCTGGCAGTTCAAGCCCACCAGCCACTGTTCGGAAGGAAGGTTGGGCAATCTAGTTCCAAAGTGACACCACCTCAGAAACCCAAGGAAGGGTCACTATGAGTTGGATCCGACTCCATGGCAGTAAGTTTTGCTTTGTTTTTTTCATAAAAGTAGCTCCAGTAGCATAGTGGATAAGACATTCAGTTGCTAACCAGAAGGTCAGCAGTTCAAACCCATCTGCTGCTCGCAGGAGGAAGATGAAGCATTCTACTTCAGTAAAGATTGACAGCTTTGGCAACCCAATGGGGGTCACTATGAGTTGTAATCGACTTGACTACTGTATTGTTCCACCCACTCCCCCTAAATAAAAAGATGAGAAAAGGCAAGTATAGAGACACCAAAGTTAATTAGTGATTACCAGGGATAGGAGGAAGGAGGAAATGGGAGATTAACAATGATAGAAATATCACACTAATTGAGGGTAGGGTTGCATAGCTGATTATCATAATTGCTGTCAATAAGTTGTACACCTGTAAAAAGTTGAATTGGCAAA